TTGTTTTAACGCCGCTGTGACCGTGCCCACGACGCGTTAATACGACGGCTGATAACGCGTTAACGGTATTACGTCATACGCCCACGTTTTATGCATCCGACCAGGCATAAAACCGAATCGATTGTTTCTCCGTTATTAAGTAATTGTCGATTCCACGTTGTGTAGATCCGATCGTTGCGAATCTGGCAACCGAATTAACGATAAATTTGGGGGGAACGAAAACCAGGGAGGGAGGAGGAGATCGAGGATAAGACGCGAAAATTAATTAAATCGAGATCCCAACGATTTATCTTTGAATTTCTCGTCATATAAAGATGTTGGAACATCTACATCTAGTTCGATATAGAATCGATTTTTACGAGCTATTCGTAAAAGCAAAAGTCGGTGCATGGATGCACGAAAACATCGAGGCTGCATTTGTATTCTTTGCCCGCGAAGAAATGTACGGGCACACGCGTACATTTTCATCTATCTATCTATCTATCTATCTATCTATCTATCTATCTATCTATACGTGCATTCGCGGCCAAGTGAGAGGGAGAGAGAGAGAAAGCGGGCGGAAGAATATAGGAGAGAGTGGTATTATACGTATATATACATCCGTATATACGTACAGGTATACATCGCCATCGTTCCGTGCTTTCATTCGTTCGCGGAAAGAAGTAAAGAGCTTTGTCGCCGCGGCATCAAAAGCTTGAATGACGCGTCGATGAAAGAAGGAAGTATCGGTACAAGAAACTGCACAGTGAATACTGAAAAGAATGTAGTCACGGGAAGAAGGGGACCGAGACGGGAGAAGAAGTTAAAAAGGAAAGGAAAAGATAGCGAAAACGGGAAAGGGGGAGGGGGAGGGAAAAAAAAGAAGAAAAGAAAAAAATGGCGGAGGAAGAGAGTATTGCGGATAGAAAACCTTCTAGGGAAAGACCGATAAAAGTTTCTGCCTGAAGACGGATATTGGAAATACGTTTCTCGATCGAGTACCGCGATTTATTAATTAATTCGTCTCTCTTTCGAAGGAAATCGAGCAATCAACGTCGTGGGAGGGAGAGGAGGGAATTTCAACGATTTGCGAAATTTCGATCGCGGTCGAAAAAAAAAAGAAAAAGAAGAAAAAAGAAATATTCGAGCGTTGTCGTAGTGTCACACGTGGATTGTAACGATCCTTAACGATCCTTGAAATCACCGTCACCCTTGTTAGAATTCAGGAAAACACATTCGTGGATTACATCATCGCCAGGCATGGTCGAGTTCTAATAGCTAAGTCAGGTACGCCGGATTACGCTGAACTATTACGAGCCTTCAAAGCGCGAGCCTCGTTGTGTATACAGGGTGTCCCGTATGGATGGAATCACGGCGAAATGACGTAAAGCTGGGAGAGAGGAAGAGAGGAGAAGGCTGAAAAGCCATACCACTCGCGGCAGCGTATGCAGATAATCGGTACAAAGCCTTTCGTCGAATGACAAAGGAGAGCACTGGCCAGCCTCGTGGTTCTCTCGCATCTATATGCCAACGCGTGCATACACGTTCAGCCTGGTATTATTATACTGGGTGGCAGCGTGCTACTAGGAAAAACCCAATTTCGACAGTTTTTGTTCCACTTGTTAAAACAAAGGGAAATCTCGCCTCGAGATTCTTCTATTATCTTGTCGCAGATTCAGAAAGATATGTAAGGTAATAAGGCTTAGGAATTCTTTCGTTTAATTAGTTTAAGGAGAGACGTAAAGGGTGATAATTGCCATTCCTTTGCGAAACACTCGATGAGTCGAGAGAGAGAGAGACTTGAAATTCTAACTCGGCGATGCAGCGTGGTTTTCTCGAGGATGCGTCAGAGAGGGAACATCTTATTTCGATAAAAGTCGCGGAAGTCTATTAATCACTGGAGCGCATTGTGACATTCAACCGAGCGGCATTCAGGGTTTCAATATTATCGATACTCAACAGCGGGGCCAGCATCCGCGTCTATTGAAAGAGAGTTTATCAATAGAGTGCAGGACACTCTTGCTGTATCCGTTTCTAAAGCATTCTAAGCTCGGCGAGGTTCCTACAGTTTTCCGGAAACGATGACCGTCTCTGGGCAAGAATATTTTTATCCCCAATAAACGGAATCACATTACGGTTGAACATTACGGTTGAAGCGTGAAGAAAATATAATAAGCTTGGGAGAAGCTTATATTTTTTTTTTTTTTGGGCAATTTGATCATCCAAACACGTACGTGGGTGTGAAGAATCTTCGAGAAGTCGGAAGGATAAAAATAAGGTTGATGCGGTTAAGAAGATTTTCCAGAAAGATTTTCCACGAGTAGTCGAGGTAAATACATTTCTTCCTTGTGTCAACTTCGATTAAGCTTATACAGTTCACGGATAATTCATGTTAATGCTGAGAAATTGGATGATGTGCGGATAAATAATCAGACACACCTATCGCCCCTCCTATAGAGGGGTAGATCGATAGTAAAAAGTGGTTAATTTGAGGAGACACGATGATCCACACGTTGTCCACTTTAACGAGGAGTTCAATGGAATTCGTCACGAACTCTTAATTTGTTCATCGATCTAATTATTTCGCTACTCTCGTCATATCGTGCAATCGATGTGCAATGGAAGAGGTGATGTCTCCCCTGTATTGACGTTTGAAACGAATCCATCGTTAATCCGGTAGCACTCAAAAAGAGACGAGAATCCGACGAATTTGCGGAATGCACGGTTTCCTGACCAACAGACGATTCTTTCCACGGTCCAGTTAGACGATACAGAATTAAGCTCGAAAAGTACTCGGCGAGTACACCGGGATGATGGGCCTATACAGCTATAAACAGCGACAAAAGGATACCGAGTGGGCGACGAGCATTGAATGTACCAGAAAGGATTGTATGCCAGCGAACGATGCTGACGATGGTAGCGACGTTGCTGTTGCTTTTGGCATACGTGTGTCACGTACGGTACGTCTGTCTGCGGCCTGCTTTTCGGTGTATCCGTGCTGCCGGCAGAAAAGAGGAGTATTTTAGCCCGCGTCCATATGAACGTAGGGACGAAACAATGTAGCTTTTGTGCGAGAAAGGAACGGAAAAGCCAAGCCAAAGAGAGAGTCTAAGAGCGATTGAAATGCTCGGCCGTCTGTCTCTTGTTCTCCACGCCTCCCTCTCCGTCTCACCCTTCTTGTCTATCCTTTCCCTCCTCCTCCCCCCTTTCCCTGCGTCTTTGCGCTCCTGTCTTTTTTAGCACTCAAACATCTATGTTGTCTCATCCTTCGCAGTTGCTTCATCTTTGCTTTGATCGCAGTAACATTGCAATGATTGCAAACGTGTTCACCTTCTCCTCGGATAGCGACGATCCGTTCTGTGAATTTCTTCATCCTTTATGTGATTCGCCTGGTGCATAAACCTTGAACTTTTACGTTTTCAACGAGAGGAATCCTTATTTTTTTTTGGGAGGGGGAGGAAGGGGAGGACGAAAAATTATCAGTAGTAACAGTAGAACGACGAACAATAGAATGAAATAAAATTTCATCTCCTCTCTCCGAAGAAGTTTTCGAAACAATTGCATATCGAATTAAACACGCATTTCATTATCGTTATTCCAAACTCGATAGGTTTAAAGATAACGAAGAGATTCCTTTTTCTTTTTTTCTTTCTTTTTTTTTTTTTTTTTTTCTTGAGACTTTAAAAGCAAGAATGACAGAATGAGAAAGTAACGACGCGCGGAGCGAAGGCAGCAAGGGTGGTATGTGCAAGAAGGGTAAGTATTGGTAGACACAGATGTGAGGGGTGGTTGCAGGTTGATAGTCAAGACTGCCTTCAGATTCCAGAGTGAAGCATTGTGTCCCGAACGCGCATTGTCCTCCCGTCACCGGGAACTCGACAATGCCGAGTCCGTAAGTTAGTAACCCTACCGTAAAAACTTATCTCCACCCCAAACCATCGACCTCCAGCCTCCATGATTCCGTTCGATTTCCAACCTCCTCCCGCCAACTCTTCCGCTTTTCTGCCCTGCAAGTCTCGTGACTTGTGCCGCTTTCCCTCTTTCCCCCTTCCTCCTGCAGAAAGGATCGAGATCTGTGACTAACGATGTTCCTCTTCTTTTCCACAGGGACAGAACTTCACGATCGAGGGCATCGAATTTGTCTTATTGTATAAATAAGCGAAACATGGTTGAACATGATGATCGAGAAGTTAAAATTGTCACGTGAATTTCAAAGTGTTTCTTTCTTCTAGACGATATATAATCTTGTAGGTTTTTAAATTGTGTCGTCTGTCACGTCTACTAACTTGGACGATCAACGGTGATGAAGAATCGAAAAAGTGGTTGGTCAGCATGCAGGGAGTCGGTCTGGGATCGGAAGTGAACGTCCTGGGGACCGGATACAAACATTAGGGGTTGGCGGGCGGTCCTCTCGTTGGGACTCAAGTTGGCGAGCAGCCGGACAACGCGTGGTCGCCGGACAAAGCTCTTCTAATTGTCCCCATCAACGACGAAGAATGGACCGCGGGCCTGCCGCTGACAATTTCATTTGTAATTTGCATAAGGCTTATTAAAATCACAATGGACGTGGACCCACAGGGATGCTCGATCGAGGTGGCCGCAGGCTTTTTTTTTTGGACTGCTCGATAAAGAATAATCACGATCACCGCTGTGCTGGTAATTGAACTTTAATAAGAACCAGAATTCGTTTCGAGCATTTTGACATGAATTATCAGTGAAAAAAAAGAAATAATTAATCGTCGATGAATTTAAACATTGTGACAAACTTACATTTGATAAAGCTGGCTCCAGTAGATTCTTTTATCCATGATTATATATCCAAAAAACACTTGATACACTGTCGCACTTTTATTTTGTTAACGGATAATAAAAAAAACGCATGAAAAAAGAATAAATGTATGAAACGTCGAACGAAATTTTATAAATGGAAAATAAAATGAACAAAAATATATTTAAATATGTAGCATTCTGAAAAAAAAAAAATATCACTGATAATTCGAATGAAAAATAATTTATAAGTATTTTTTTTGCACGATTTATGACACCAATATTTCCACGTTTCTCGAAATGTGTCGCGCACGTGAGACAGCGCGGAACTGAACCATCTCAAAACGCTATCATATCACGCGCCGCCACATTCCCCCACCAACTTCTACCAAAATGCGTCTACGCATCTCTTATTCACACTACTATAAAACAATCGTTCTGATATAAATTGTAATTTTACAAGAAAGAAATAAAACAATAATTTCATAACAATAATTCTCTTATAAAAATAGATTATTAATCTAATAAAGAAATAATGTATACAAAAAAAATATAATGATTAAAGGAACGTAAATTATTAATTAGTTTTTTAATATATTTGTATATACGAACATTAAATGTTCTAAACAATATATCAAATATTTTAAAACGATTCTATTCCAAATTAATGTCTAATTCTAGGAGAACTGTTTTCCAGAACACAAATTCCTTGATTATTGTCGCGTACATATCCCTTGTCACAGATACAACCACTTAAACAATTTTTTGTCTGAATGCAAGGCATAGATTCCCAGATATCAACATTATCACAATTCTTTTCGCAATTTGGATCTGCCTGGCATTGACTAAAAATTTCATTTTTCCTACATATGTCTTCGACGTAGATTATTTCGGGCTCTTGAAAAAAAAATTGAAAATAAAAATAAAAAAAATCTACCATTTACAAATCTAATTTTGATCAAATGAAAAATTAAATATCCAATAATAAATTACTTACTAAAAAGTACTTCTCCTGTTACCACGTTCGAATATTCGAGTAGAAAAACATTTAAAATAATTAAAACGAAATGCACTTCTATATACTTCATTTTCTTCGAAATATCGGAAAAGAAATGTAAATAACTGTCGTGTCTGCGAATTTTAATACCCGGCCAAGAATATAACGCAGCGATAACCAAATTAGGTTATCAACAAGAGAACCACTTTTAATAACGTATAGCAACGTTCTTTGAACGGAAACTGGTGCATCAAAAAGATAAAATATGAAAGCAAATAAGTATGAGAGAAACCCTTAGGTATACAATCATAAAATTTAATAGGCATTGAAGAATAATCATTTTTTTTTCCAGTTTTCGTGTTATGTATTTGCGGATTTTTAAATTGTACAGCAGCTCGTTTACATACAACATATATAAGTGTCTTACTAGTAAATTATTTGTATGATACCTTAAAATAAGTATTTGTAATAAAGAGGGGAGGGTTTGTGATAACGTGTCCGAAATAATAGCAATTATGAAGAATAATCCAAGGATGATCGATGTGAGGGGAAAAACTATATTCCTTACTAATAAAGTCTCTTCTTCGCGTTGGCGATTCGCGATTCAAATTTACTTGTAGAATCAACGACATCCGTAAATGATTACAACTTTTTTTTTTTTCTCATCAAACGCACAAGTTCGGAACGTGAGGTGCAATATTAAAAAGTTTAAAATCAACGCGAAAAATATTAAATCGGAAGTGAATTCATTTCTTATTAAAACAGCGAATAATATATTATCGATTCTTACTCATGACAATGAATGATAATGAAAAGCCACTTGCATATCTCAAATACTGCGACCAAATACTTCCCTTCAAAAATGCGCGTCACAGAAGAAGCTTCTTTTTTTCTCTTCCTTATTATTTATAAACGATATCTTCGTTACAATAAGAAAAGATACTACGATACGAAAATAAGTACCAGAATCGAAAGGTGTGTAAAATTTCTTTTTTTGATAACAATTAAAGAAAAAAAAGGAGGGGAAAATCGAAGTTTATAGATGTTGATTAATTTCACGCGGTACAAACAAGTTATCAAGTGTTATCAAGTGTATGAATGTGCGAGAAACGCACATTTATATGTATTATATCACGAATATTTACTGTGTAAATATTCATGTGTAAGATTATAACAATTGAGGGAAACGGCCTCGATTTATATTCATACGATATGATTTCGTATTTTACGCGATTACTGTTAACTCTGATAAAGTTAAAAAGTCGAAAGAAAAAAGTACATTTCTCGCAACTGTCATTAGCACTATTGTACGTTTTTCCTTACAATATATCCCCTCTAGACTTTGTTTTAAATATACCGAAAATAATCGGTATAAGAATAGAGTAAGAGGTCTATGTCTCACGTGATCCGGTTGATGTTTAACGTTGAGAAGAAGTAACTATATCACAGATGAAGGAGAAGAATCGAAGAAGCAGCAACGGCAACGGGATTTCTACCAAACCTTAGCAGCAAGGGTTCTCTGCATTAAAACATTCTTGCTTCGCTGCTTCATGCGCTCAATGAAGTACTCCTTGCCTTCCAGGTTATCGTCGACAGGTCCAACCTCATTCTAGTAACAAACGAGAGTTAGTTGGCTCCTAGGTCGCGTTTTTCTTGCGCGTGTGGCTCATCACCATCATCATCATCATTATCCTCATTATTTATTCCTCATATTATCATCCGGATTATCATGATCGTCATCACGAAGATAGGCTAGTCTTTTGCAAAAGCCTACACAGAAGAGACCTAACCAACCTTGTTAGCTGTGTCGCCCCCCTCGCCCTCTCCCCACCTCTCGTAGTCATCGTCGTCCCTTTCTTCGCCTTCGCTTAAAGGTCCATCTTGTCTTTTACTAGGAGGAGCATTCGATCCTCCACTACCTTGTTGATGCTCCATAACGTCATCTCCCCCTTCGAGCATTTTGTTGATCTTCTCTTTCGCTTCGTCGACTTTTCTCATCGGATCGGGAGAGTAACTACGATCGCTGTATCTATCGCGAGAAGCGGCACGACGATCTCTGAAGTCACGCCTATCTCGGAAATCGCGGAAGCCCTGCTTACCGTGGAAAAATCTACCACCACGATTACCGCCACGTCCGCGTCCACCACCACGATTATTAAAACCACCGCCACGTCTGTTGCCAAAGCGATTGTTGTGTTGATTATTATAGAATCGGTTACGATTTTGGAAATTGTTACCACCGCCACGATGGTTTGGATTATTGAAACCCTGGAAACGTGGTTTATAATAAGTGCCGCGATTATTATATGGTCGAAATTGTCTCTTGCGATAGTAACTTCTATCTCCGGATCTACTACGACTGCGACTTCTAGTATAAGATCGGGAACGTGATCTAGAACGTGATCTACTATATGTGCCCGATGGAGATCGACTATATTTTCTCTCGTAACTTCCAGATCTTCGATTCGAATATGATCTTGAACGACTTCTTCTGGGTGAACGAGACCTCGAAGAACCTGAACTGGAGGCACTGCGCGATCTACTTCGTGATCGTTTCACTGGACGATCTCTGCTCATTCTCTTAGTCACAGTTCCTCCTCTACCGCTCGATTCACGTTTCTTAGATGGTTGTCTATGTTGCCTTTCTGTCTCGCTATCGGAATCTGTTCTAGGACCTTTAGCTTGATTTTGGTTCTTTGCTAGTGGAGGAGGACGCGGTGGTTCTGGTGGATGACCAGCACCAGTATTACCGCTTTGTCCAATAGGTTGGAATTTGCCACCAAGATTGTTACTAGAACTAAACTTCGTTGGTGTTGTTTGAGGAGCAGATATAGAAGGATCCTTATATGATTGGAATTTGTTCTGCGGTTGTGGCGTGGGATATTTTACCGGTTCTTTGGGTAATGGCGGTGGAGTTGGCGCAGACATGGGCTGAGCAGCTGCAGCTCTCTTTTCCGCGAGTTCACGTTGCATTTGTTTCCGTATATTCATAGATTTTTCCAATGCCGTACGTTGCAGTTTCTCTTCCAACTCATTATCATCATCCTCATCACTATCTACATTTGACTGCATCTTTTTATTTTCTGCTGATACATCTTGCCATTTTTGCGGAAGAACATCCTTTTGTCTAAACAAATAAAAAATGATCCGTATGCATATATCCTAATGACATTATTACATATATTACATATATTATTAAATATAATTTTAAATATAATTTAAATATAATTTACAATACAATAAGCTTTTTTACCTAGCAGCCTGTGCGGCTTTCCACTTTGCGTTCAATGCAGCTGTATCAAGAGTAGGTAATTTTGGTTCAGGATGAATCAATTGAGACTCTTGCTCAAATATGTCCGTGAGTGGTTTCCTCTGAATTTCTGTAAACAATATAAAATTAAACGGATCTAAATCGGATTAATTAAATATAAATTTCTTTTTTCTTATTTATTAATTTATTAATTTAAGGTGTTTACCTTTACGCTGCTGTGCGGTCATTGGTATTCTAGCTTCTCGTTCGTGATATGCTTTTGAAGCCTCATCCCTTTCTCTTTCCTTCTCCCTGCGCAGCTCTTCCTCTCTTCGCGAACTTTCAGCGAGCTTCTCCGCGTTGCTAAGAGGGGAAGCTATGTCATTATACTGAGCTACATACCTAGTAAATATAAAAACATAAATAAAATACGATAGGTTAAAACCCACGTTTCCATTCATGTATCTGTAAAAAATTAGATTAACCACGGACAATTAGCTAAGAAAATACAAATTAAAATAATGTAACATCAAAATCAATATCTATACTATCTATATAAAAAATTAATTATAAAAATAGAAATTTCGTAAAAATAAATAATCAAAACAAAAAGTTGTTCACGAACTGTTCCAACCTTTTCAGGACAGCAGTCTCTTTTTCAACTTTTGCATAATATGCATTCAGTTTTGATTCCAACTGTTCTAAATCCGGTAACGATGATTTCTTCAAAGCTTCTAAATCTCGTTCGAGTTTGTCCTTATTTTTGCGTTTTTTTCTTTCTTCTTTCTTCTTCTTCTTCCTGCTTTTTTTATCCTCTTTTTCTTTGTCTTTTCCTTTCTTTTCCTTCTTCTTCTTTTTCTTCATTTTCTCACTCTCTGAATGTTTCTTTTCCTTCTCTCTTTCTCTCTTCCATCTAGCAGTTTCTTCTAAGAATTTTCTTACCTAAGTATAAGAAAAAAAAAAAAAATAAAATTTAAATTATTAGAGAACAAAAATAAATTATATGTATATAATAATAATATGTATATATATATATATAAAATATCTTACTTTATCTTCGTAATCAGAATCATCCTTTGTTTGTTCTAAGAATTTTCGCACTTTTATTTCATAATCATCCATCTTATCTCGAGTATTAGAACTATAAGATACTGGAGCGATTACATCATGCGTAGCTGTGGCAGCAGCAGCTGGTGGATTATTGTATTGAGCCATGCGTTTGCTAAGCGGTGAAAGTGAACCACGATGATCTTTCTTGTGTTTTCGTTTGCGACTAGGCGATCGGGATGCTGATCGTGAACTTGCGGACGAAGAAGAACTGCTGGATTCAGAACTGGAGGAACTCGAAGATCCACTTGATGACGAACTAGAACTGGAACTCCATCTCTGCCTTTTCTTTGAACGCAATTTCCTTTCCTTCTTACGTTTCTTCTTTTCTTTTTTATTTTCACTGACATCATTCTCAGTTTCAAAACTCTTGAACGTATCCAAAGGATTCAAAGAAGATGTTAATGTTTTAGACTTGATGTATTCAATAGAATTCCTAGCTTCTTCATGAAATGGAGCAATCGCCAAGCAATTTTCATATGCCTTTTGAGCGTCTTCGTACTTCTTTTCATCTTCATAACTTCGACCTAGAGCAACAAGAGTCTCAGCCATGTATTTACGGGCATTCGTATGAGTCTGATTTAGTTTCAATGCTGTCTCAAAATCATCAATTGCTTTCTTGAAACTACCACTATTTGCATATCTGTAAGAGCAAAAATACGCACATATAAAATAAGTACAATTTAAAATAATATGTTTTATAAATATCAAGATATTTTATATAAATAATAACTTACAATGCTCCACGAGCCACTAATCCTTCAACGTTTCGCGGATCTACGGTAAGTGCCTTATTGAGACACTGGAAGGCTTCCGTGTGACGTCCAGCTTTGAAATGATCTATACCTTCAGCCACGCTTCGGAATGCCCATTTACTAGCCTGTGCCTGTCTTAATTCGGAT